ACTTTATATTCATTATTGCGCGAAGATGAAGAATTTTTTTTAAATACTTTAGAATGTCAATCAAAAGTTTTGATGAATTATCAGTGAAATTACAAGACAACTTAAAACATCCGCGAGGCGTTCGGTGTCGACATATGCCTTGTTTGATATAAATTACTTAAATCACTAACACTACTTAATACCTGTAATATCATACAATATTATTAAAGTTTAGGTTCGATTTTCTTGACGATGATACACGCATCCGTACGGTCGGTGTAGCATTGAACGCGTCAATATGTTTCCACTGCGCGTCGGTCGACCGACGGTACGCGTGCGGACGCGCTCGACCGACGGTCCTCATACGCAGTGCGTAACAATATACGCGTGCGTACGGTCGGTCGAGCACTGTAACGACTTTTGAATTTTCATACAAAAGGCAAGCGCGACCGACGTACGCACCGACGGTCGGTCGAGCTCTAAAACCGGCCTAAGTCGGTCAAAACAAATACCATCATATCCTTGAACAAAAGACAAATGAACTTTGCTTTGCAACAAAAGAGAACATCGAGTAATTTTATGAAAATATCTAAATTTTAATAAAATATTGGTAAAATTATGTGAAATCGCAAGAAATCGTCATTAATATCTCGTTATGAACATATTCGTAAAAGTTCCCTAAATTATATTCCCATAAGGTATATTATATAACAGAATCGAAATAGTAGAAAAACACAAAAATCGTCAATATCACAACAGAGTTTAACAAGAACCTTTTCGGTGAAATTACTAGCATTCAATAATGATAATATTGAAAATTTTACCGAAATGAAATCATAAAAAATATAGACAGAGGTGAAAAAGGCCCAAATCTGACGATATCCCAAACGAAGTTTTGGCACTGGCAAATATCTCTTAGATCCGATAGAACTGTTTAATAAAGTAATAAAAAAGCAGAGTTTCCAAAAATTGGCACGGACAGGCTCAAGACGTGCGCTGTATATACTTTTCGCATTGTGCCTGGAAAATGGTTACGAGGTCAAATATACAGAACAAGCCGGCTTACCTAGAGGTTTCTGTGTCATAGATCATATCTATACATTTTGATCTGATAATTGAAAAATATATAGATTTTATCAAACTTATATACCTCAATTTTTTAAACTACGTAATAGCATCATCAACTTTACAACCCGTCACAAGTCCACTGCTAAACATAGGCCTCCCCCAAGGAATGCTATAAAGGATGGTCCTGAGCTACATGTCTTACCAGGTCGTCACTCCATCTAGTGGGAGGTCACCCTACACTTCACCTAAAGGTACGAGGCTGCCACTCGAGAACATTTTTTTCCATCAGTAGTCGGTTCTTCGAGCTATATTGCCACTTCAGCTTCCTAACCCGTTAAGCTTGTCATGGAGGCTAAAGTCGTCGAGTCTGTATGCGAGACGATTCATAATGATTCTCGAAAGCAGCACGTAGACGCGCATCAGAAGGAAAATCAGTCTATAGTTCTTCAACATAACGTTGTCGCCTTTCTTGAAGTACAAGACCACCGCACTTGTGCGCCATGCCTACGGAGTATTCTTACCATGGAGGATGGAATTAAAGAACTTCTGAAAGACTTCAAGTATTGGTTTTCAGCCCGCTTTCAGAAGCTCCGTTGTAATTCTATTATCACCCGAGGCCTTGCCGTTTAAAGTGCTGGAGAGTCATTCTAACCTCGCTCAGACTGACGTCCGGGATATCATCGAAAGAGTGTCGGAAAAGACTTACTCTTGGATCGTTACTCGCACTTGAGTTGTTTACGTGAGAGCATTAGTGACTATATATCACATGACATTATATAGAAGGCTCTCAGACAGCATAAACATGTATAAACCTAGCACAAGCCGAGTAAAAGTTGATCGCGCAGGATCAGAGATCAAAAAAAGTAGAGAAGTAAAACTAGAAGACCCTTTATTACTTAAAGTTTTTAAAACAGTAGCACAACATGTTATAAAATCCATCCGGAAACAAAACATGAGTCATATCAAGCGATAATATAGTTATCTTCTATAGCATAAAACGCCTAATAAAATAGCTCTTGAATTTGCAGACTTCAATAACTACCTGACAAACATCACTTAAACGTCAAGAAACCAAAATGAAGTCGATGGAAGAGTTGCTATAGTCTGAAAAAGGTTTTTAAAATACAGACAAATTTACTTTATCTACAGAAAAATTTATACAGTAATGTATGACATGTTTGTCATCCATTACTGTATAAATTTTTCTGTAGATAAAATAAAATATAAACATAAAAACTACGATATTCGCAACATAAAGAAAACGAATTCAATAGATACATTGTACTGCTCTCAAAAATTGAAATGGGAATGAGCATATTGACAGGACCAACCAGTAAACGAGAATAAGGAAAGATATATCGATAAACCTAAGCCTCTAAGGGGATAGTTGCCACGCTTGGAAGGTGGGTTGCGACCGCAGTTTAATATTATTGTACGTAAGAGTAAATATGGTCATTCGCTTATTATGGTCACTTTCTCATAACTCAAAAACTACAGCCTTGTTTGCATAGATAGGTTTATGATACGATAGCTCTTCATCGGTCAACCTAATGATAAAGGGTCAAAAGGGCGCTGCTTTATCGACGCCATTTTGAAGGTTGACATTATAGTAAATATTTTAGTCGATATTAGTATGTGTATGTGGTGTAGTTTTACTTAAGAGGGTTTTTCGAGCTGTTCCCAATTATTTCCAAAGCTTGTTTGTTTTTATTTTCTTAATATATTAGTTATAGTATATGACTTTATGTTCTTGTCGCTGTCGTCCTTCCAGTTTCTGTTTTATAGGGCTGCAAAGCTTAAGGTGACCATATTACCCTCACGTACCTTATTTTGACTTGTTACCATGGAGATTTCCCATTTTCTATTTCATTTACCTCTAAATAATAGTAAATACTGATACAAAAGTAATGCCTGAACAGAGGTTAGTAGTTGCGCATCTACTATTTTAATAAGTGGTAAAATTAAAAAATTAACCGACTTCATTAAAAACAAATGGTAAAATTAAAAATGTTGTGCAACCGACATCAATACGACCGAATCAATGTATTTGAAGTCAATTAACTACGCATTATCTAAGGATAACTCAAAAACTACTGGTCAGATCTTGATCAATATAGTACCACACGAGAAGCACCAGCTTTCAAATAAAAATAGAGTCATCAAAATCAATTCACCCAGAAAAAAGTTCTGTGGTAACACACCTCGTAAAAAGAACATACAACCGAATTGAATACCTCCTCCTTTTTGAAGTCGGTCAAAGATAGCTATCTATGTGGCTACTAGGCAGTGATAGAGTCCATCACTTAGTAAAAAGAACAAAAGTTATATATATATATATATATATATATATATATATAAATGAATATCAATAGTATATTTACTATTGCCATGTGGTGGTGGCGTAGGGGAATCCATCCCCCCATTTTTCTAGTTCTGCAATCAATCCGCCTGACAAGTCTGATGGTTAAGCCAAATCTTCCCCACTACGAGTTCAGCAGTGAACGTTTATAGGCTGGTGAAGAAAGATATGAATAATATTTTACTAAGAGGTTATTTTTAACAAATAAATATTTACATTCGTAAGTTATAATTGGCTAACATTTTGAAAATATTTGAGTCGTTTTAATACTTGTACCTGGTGGAGCCACGCTGCAGCTATATTATCATTGTAGCACAAATGGCTCGGCTCGACCGGGAAGGGATCACGCTCTCACAGAATACCAGCGTAAAATAGCAGCTTAATACTGCTGTGTTTTGTATGGTGAGTGTAGAGATCTGGAGACCCTTTTTTACTGGAATCGAGGCATTCCATCTTAGTCCTAAGGGGTGACAACGCATCTGCGTTTTGATTCTTAATCGAGGATAAATGTACCTAATTGCATCCACCACCATCCACTTACCATCAGGTGGACTGTGTGCTCGTTTGTCACCCTTATTCTATAAAAAGAATGCAATGTTAAACCTATGTCTTGACTTTTTAACATAAAAATGTCAAACATTACATAAAAACACCTATACAACTCCCCTCTCCTAGTATTATTTAATGAAGTGGTACACTGCACGGTAAACTAATTTCAAACAAAGTAGGCTACAAGTATGTCATCAGTTATCACCTTTGGGGATCACAGAGCCCGACTAAATAAATAGAAGAAATAGTTCAAAGCATGGTTTCCACTCAGACAGACACCTAGGTAGAACAGCAGAGCCCTACTCAGTACAAGTTCGATTCAAAGCAATAGAACAGAAAAATGTAAGTTATATATAATATATAAAAAAAATATATATATATATATATATATATATATATATATGTATATATCTTAAGATTGGTTTTCTACGCATGACAAATGGTATAAAATTCAATTTAACGTTTTATCGCATGTATTATGTAAGGATTATGCACTATGATATCTCGTCCTTAAACTTATAAGTTACGCAAAGTATAAATTTGCATAATTGAAATATTCTACATTTTATGATTTTTTATGCTCTAGTGAAATCATTAAAAATTAAAACATATAAAGTAACCCAAGTAATCAAATTATAGCATTCTTTGATATCATTGCAGCGATGCGACACTGTTCTAGTTGCGTGATAGCAACTGCATTACGATGCGGCGGAAAGACCCTGTTTTGTTTTATTTATTTAACAATGTTAATTATTTTAATAAAGTGGTGCCTTTATAATGAGGTTCAAAAAGAACTATGTCAGTAGTCAGCACGACACCCACACGCTGTGTATTCTGTATATACGTATCTATAGTAGATAATTGATCATATAACATTAACAGATTAAACGCCCTATCTATATCTATATGAAGAGTCGCACCTACAGTTTTCTGACATTCGGGTTTGGCTTTAATATGGGACAATATGGTCACAGCACTGTCACATATTTAAGATACATAGCACCAACGCACAAGACACGGGAGGGTGGAAGCGGGACGGGCGCACCTCATAATCTCGTGCTCGCGCTGTTCCTCTTGCCGTTGCCGCATCATGACGCCCTCGATGATGGCGCGCTCCTCGGGCGTAAGGTGCGATAGGTCCGGCATGTCGGCCATTGCGTGCGGCGGCGGCCGCGAGCGCTGCGCGGGCCAGCCGCGTGCTGCGGTGCTGTGCCCGCGACGCGACGCTTTGCGCGCCACTCCGCCCGGAGGTTTACTTAATAATGCCGGCTAGGCCAATAGCGCGCGACGCCTCATTGACGTCAGCTCCGCTATTGATCGAGGCCCAGCCCGCCCTAGTGAGCCGCCGCATGTTCTTTTCAACTTTTATCACTGCGCATGTATGTAAGCTATTTATATAGGTGAGTATTTTACGTTTGGGTGGCTGACGTAGGCTTGAAAAAGAAGAAAAATTTACTGACTTAAATTTGCAATTTTTTTCTTTTGTAAATACAAACAATAGAATACATTAAAATATTATTACTAAAAGCGGTTACATAGGAAAATTTTCCAAAACGGACCTAATCGCAATCCAGTGGAGGCGGTTCGCATTCTCCAGGAAGGTAATTCACGCGCTCGTTGTGTAAAAGAGACTGAATTCCGTCTCGCCATGGAAATCTTTTAGTGCGTCTGCGCATGTATTCATAATCCAAACAGGGCTCCCTGGGTGGTCGTTTGTGTCCCCAAACATGTAAGGTTTGTATTAGTATGAGTGGAAAACAGACAAACAGGGCAAAGTATCTATATTTCTTCCATGTATCCTTTCCATGATGATATCGGGGTGCACATGGGTTGGGTGGTATATCGACCTTTCGACATGAGGCGGGAGGTGGCGTAATGTTATGGTGGCTTGGTATCTTTGGTTGGCAATTGCACGTGTCTGATGACCGCGTTGGATAACATAGCTTACTCGTATAATTTCTAATATCTGCAATTTCATTCACTTTGCACGCATACTTTAAAAATTTCTGTTTTTTCATTATTGTAATACCAAACATTTTTACTTTTTTTTTAAACTTTTCAATAAAATAATACTGTAAATTTTAATTCTTCATTTCTTTTCAAATATTTATGAGTTTGTTTAAAAAGTGACAGATGTTTTACATTTAAAATAATCTATGAGTAATTGTAAGGTTCTATTATACGAAGTGATAAAAATCCATGGTTATATTTTATTTTCTATCAAAGAGTATATATATTCTTTATAAGTATATCACTTATGTAGTAAGTATATCAACTAGCGGCTTACTCCGGCGTCGGCTATATGATATATATATATATCATCATCATCATCATCATCATCATCACAGCCCTTCACAAGTCCACTGCTGAACATAGGCCTCCCCCAAGTAATGCCACAAAGCACGGTCCTGAGCCACCTGCATCCATCGACTTCCTGCATATCTTACCAGGTCGTCACTCCATCTAGTGGGGGGTCGCCCTACACTACGCCTACCGGTACGAGGCTGCCACTCGAGAACCTTTCTTCCCCATCGGTTATCGGTTCTTCGAGCTATATGGCCGGCCCATTGCCACTTCAGGTTACTAATCCGTTGGCTATGTCGGTCAATCTGGTTTTACTGCGGATATCCTCATTTCTGAGTCTATCACGCAGAGAAACTCCGAGCATAGCCCTCTCCATAGCTCGCTGAGCGACCTTGAGCGTCCTCATACGGCCAGCAGTGTAGGACCACGTCTCTGATCCGTAAGTCATCACTGGCAACACGCACTGGTTGTACACTCTAGTTTTCAGAGATTGAGGTATACCTGACGAGAAGATATATCGTAATTTCCCGAACGCTGCCCAGCCTAGTTGAATCCGTCGATTGACCTCTCGGTCGAAGTTGGACTTACCTAGTCGGAATATTTGTCCCAGGTAAACGTACTCATCAACAACTTCGAGCATAGTGCTCCCAACAACTACCGGCATAGGTGTGACATGGACATTAAACATAATCTTTGTTTTGTCCATGTTCATCTTAAGACCTATCCGTTGGGAGGCACTATTGAGGTCATTGAGCATAGTGCTTAAGTCCTCCAGCGATTCTGCCATAAGGACTATATCGTCGGCAAATCGAAGGTGAGTGATGTACTCGCCATTGATGTTAATACCGTATCCTTTCCAGTCCAGTAGCTTGAAAACGTCTTCCAAAGCAGCGGTGAAGAGTTTCGGGGATATAACGTCACCCTGTCTTACACCTCTCTGCAGTTGGATAGATTTCGAGCTCTGGTTCTGTACTCGGATAGCCATCGTAGCCCTACTGTACAAACACTTCAGCACTTCGATATACCGACAGTCAACTTGGCACCGCTGAAGGGACTGCAGCACCGCCCAAATTTCGACGGAATCAAAGGCTTTCTCATAGTCCACATACGCCAGGCAAAGTGGCAAATTGTACTCTTCAGTCTTCTGTACAATCTGCCGCAGGGTATGTATGTGGTCTATGGTACTGAAGCCTTTTCGGAAACCGGCTTGTTCGGGAGGCTGGAAGTCGTCGAGTCTGCGTGCGAGACGATTCGTAATGACTCTCGAAAACAGCACGCAGACGCGGCTCAGAAGGGAAATCGGTCTGTAGTTCTTCAAGAGAGCGTTGTCGCCTTTCTTAAAGAACAAGACCACCGCACTTCTGCTCCACGCCTCTGGAGTAGTGCCACCATGGAGGACGGAATTGAAGAGCTTCTGAAGGACTTCAAGTACCGGTGTTCCACCCGCTTTCAGAAGCTCCGCTGTAATTCCATCCTCGCCTGGGGCCCTGCCGTTTTTAAGGTGCTGGAGAGCCATTCTAATCTCGCTTAGACTGACGTCCGGGATATCATCGGAATAGTGTCGGATAAGACTATATATATATATATATATATATATATATATATATATATATATATATATATATATATATATATATGATCTATTAATGTGGCGTGTGCCTCATTATATGTTCATAAAGTTTCATCACAATTAGTTAAACCATTCCGAAGGTTATTAGCCCCCCCCCCCCCAACACAGAAAATTAAAATAAAAATTGTTTTCTTTCTTTCTCAAGAGGAAAAAAACATCAGACGAAATGAAAAAAAATGTTTGTTTGTTTTAATAGCAAGGTAATAACCAGCTAAGCTCAATAGAAGCCATTTGTTTGAGTATTAGGGACAGACACTTCATTTTTTATACATATGTATAGATATTATTAAATAACCAGAATTTCGGTCCCTTACAAGTGTGCCTACACGAATAATTTTATTAAAAAAAAGTATAAATATGTCTCACAGCTGGATACAATCACCCTTTTTAGTCGACCTTAAAAAGGAAGAAGTTATAACTTTTATTCACCGTTTAGTGGCGGTGTAAGAATATCCGTTGATTGTCGTCTTCACGCACAGATGTACGTGTAGGTATCGGGCCTCGGGGTAGCCCCCATTGCCCGGGTGTCCTCATGTCCCATCACTATGGGACAGTCCTTGTTGCCTATTCAGGCATAATGTGGTAAGTCCGGTTTTTCCGTAATTGGTTAATTACGGGAAAAAAGTGGTTATCTAATATAGACAAAGTTGGCCTTTCAGCGGCATTGTGGGTTGTTACTCAACTCTCTAATCACATATAGAGAGGAGTTCTCTTGGAAGAGGTCGCCCGTCCGGTGGCCGGGTGTGTAACGGCGCAAAGCCGTTCAGGTGTTCATGTGGCCCGTTATCGGCACGGTCAAACATGCCGCGCGCTAACCGGGCCACGAAGTCGATGATGGTCTCGACTTTCAGATCGGCCGCTATGACGTCATTCCGGACGTAGCGACCTGCTCCGACGATCGTCCTTAATGTCAGATTCTGCTGGGCCTGCAGTCGCCGCCTCAGAGGGTCGCTCAGAAGTGCGTACCAGGCCGGTGCAGCATACGTGATGATGGTCTTACATCTTTATATCCGGAGCTTAGTTTTTATAGGCAGTTTGGATGCAAGTACCGGCAAGAGCGTCGCCCGCGCACATCGGGCCCGGCGGACGACGAAGTCGACGTGCGCGGTCATGCGCAGCGTCCTGTCGATCTTGCACCCAAGATAAGTTACAGCCTTCTGGTACGCAATCTCCTGGCCGTTGAGGGTCAGCGGAGGTGGTAAATTCCTGAGACGGCGAGTGAGCAGAGCGGTCGTCTTACCAACGTTGACGACCATCCTCCACTCATCCAGCCATGGTGGCAGCAGGTCCAGCAGACGCTGCATCTTGGCAGTGGCTATGTGGGCTCTTCTGGACGAGGTGAAATAGGCGCTATCGTCCGCGTATAGCGCCAGCTCGACGTCGTCCTCCCATTGAAGCCTGCCTGCCAGTGTAGGTATGTCGTTAGTATAAGCCGCGTACAGGACTGGTGACAAACAGCTGCCCTGTGGAACGCCGGCTCTGATGGTTTTTGTTGCGGACTCGGCGTCCTCTACGCAGACGTAGAACTTCCTGTCTTCCAGGAAAGACGCCATTAACCGCAACATAGCAAGAGGGACACTGGTCTGTTCTTTCAGCTTATATAGAAGTCCTACGTGCCACACCCGGTCGAACGCCTTCTCGATATCGAGAAAGACGCCCAACGATATGCGGCCACGATTGTACTCTGCCGCAAGCAGGTGCAGCACTCTGGTCAATTGTGTGACTGTAGAGTGACCCCTCCTGAATCCGTGCTGCTCCGCCCGAAGTTGGATGCACGGACGGAGACGTCTTAGCAGCAATCTTTCAAACAGTTTAGCTATGTGTGGTAATAGCGTGATCGGCCTGTAGCTGGCAGCTCTACGCCTGTCCTTCCCGGGTTTCGGCAAGACGATGATTTTGCCTGTTTTCCATACCTCCGGGAAGTGGGATGTCCGCAATATCCCATTGTAGAGTCGACCAAGCTCTACTATGACTTTATTGGGCAGCTGTCGGAGTGCAGCGTTGGTAATCCCGTCGTGCCCCGGCGCCTTCCTCGGTTACAGGCGGGTTACTGTCCTCCGCAGTTCAGCGGGGGAGATGAACCACTCTCCTGCAAGAGGCGGCGCGGGCGACGACAGGAACTCCTGTACGCGACTTTCCTTCCGGGCATGAAGCTCCATGAACTCCGCACTTGCTGGGTTCGGCATAAATTGCTCCTCGAAGTGCTCGACTAGGATATCCG